TCTCGGGTTCGATTCCCGGGTCGGGCAAAGTATTACTGGGCTTTTCAAAAAATTCTCAGTAGTAGCACGGAGTCTGGAATTGTGCCCGGTATATGGCAATAGGCTCACCCCCTATTACATGGGACTCATAACATAAATAGTGAAAAATGGGTGTTACATTGTACAGTGGCATAATGTACACCTCTGCCTACCCCTTCGGGGATAAAAGGCGTGATGTTATGTTATGTTATGTTACATTGTGCAATATGAATAAATAAATAAATAAGGCGCTTTAAATAAATTCACTGTCTTTCTTCCCAACATAACCATTATGGGTTACTTTTCAAATCACGCGACACAACCGTTGGAAGAACCTACTTACAAATTATAACGTCAAAAATTACAAAGAACACTCAAAAATGAACTTTAAGCTTTCTTTTTACGTATAAAAATTCTCCTAAAAACTAATCTGAAACTGCTTAAATATACAAAGGTTAATTTCGAATAGCTGCTGATGTATATAAGTGACACGCCGGGTACTTCCATACATATTTGATGGACAGACCAGGTTTCATTAGCCGTACGTTGAAACTTTAATTCGAAATGACGTCAGTGCCTCCAATCGGGGGAATGTTGGGGATAAGGTGTATGTGTTAATGTAGTAAGATGGGATGGGCAGAGGTGTATTATGATGTGCTATGTGTTTGGTGAAGAAGACTATATTCAGAAGTTTCGAGAAGAGAGGTTCAATAAAGATTTTTACTAGACTTAAGGGTCCTATTACAAAGAGTTTACTATCTTCTGGCGGCGGCTTCACACAAAGAGAAATTAAAAAGATAAAAGTAGCCTATGTTTTATTCCAGATGATAATCTACCCCTGTTCTAAATTTCATCTCGATCCCTTCAGCCGTTTAGACGTGAAGTAGTAACAAACAAGCATACAAAGTTTGGCATTTATAATTTATATTAGCTACTTCCTCGGGGTTTCACACGCTCTCCTATTGGTCGTAGCGTAATGTTTTATAGCCTATAGCCATCCCCGATAAATGCGCTATCCAACACAAAAATAATTATTCAAATCAGACTTGTAGTTACGGAGATTAGCGCGTTCAAACTAAAAAACAAAAAAACAAACTCTTCCGCTTTATATATATAATCCTTACTAATATTATAAATCGGAAAGTGAGTTTGTTTTTTTGTTTGTTTGTTCCGCTTTCACGCCGTAACTACTAAACCGATTGCTTTGATTTTTTACAGACGTAAAGTTAGAAGTCCGTATTAAATAATAGGGTACTTTTTATCCCGTAAAAATGTGATATTCCCGAGGGAAAACAAAAGTATTGGTATAGATGGCGCTGTGTGCTGGAGTTTGGACAATGGCTTTAAGACATAGCTCGCCCCACATTTGACAGGCGATTTGGACATCGTAGTCTACAGGTTCAGGTTTATCTAAGAGCCTTGCTGCTCAATCTATGTCCAACGTTAAGTCCCATTGTTGGCTCAAACAACACCCACAAGAAGAGCAAAGGTGTTGACAAAGTATATTCTAATCTACAGTCATAACATTAATATTTACAACTTAAAATTAACTACAATAAACCTATGAATAAAAAGAATAAAAAAAAACCTTAATTAGCTATCAAAGTACGCGTCCACATCACTGTCACTGGGAACGTTCCCAGGAGACTGAGATCATTGCCACGTTGAATTGCAATGCTTATTTTCTGTCCGAAGTAGCTAGCCACGTGAAGACTCGATCAGCCTACGAGAGACTTCTTTATAGACAGAGAATATTATCTGAGGGCCAAGCACGAATAACTATCGCATTCGTATCGTAACAGTATCGAGCGAGTTAAGCGTTCTGATTGGTTGGTTCACTTGAGGCAGCCAATCAGAGCGCCGAACGCACCCGATACTATTACGTTACGAATGCGATAGTTATTCGTGCTTGGCACTCTGCTGTCTTTTACTATATCTGCTGTCTAAATACATCTATCTCTTTTCAACATAATCGGTCGTCAGAACATCTCATCCCATAAAGTATTTACTCGGTACGGAAATCCGACTGTCTTTTGTTTTTCGAGAGCATTCCACCGCTTAGATTCATATAAATAGTAGGTAGATACTTACATTTATATTCTCACTTTGATCACTCGGTTACCTGTAAAAAATAAAGAATGTTAGAATTTGGTATATTTAGGTAAAAAGAGTATTTTTTTTGAGCGAAGAAAATGATCCAATGAGTTCTCCCGCCTGGGTGAAACGAGAGGGAGTGTCAGACTCTTACTGACTAAAAACCACCCCGATCCTATTGCTGTACTTCGAGGCGGAGCCCCGGTAACCCGTTAATTCCTCAGCGGCTCCGTATCGGTATCAGCCCTATTGGGACTTTTTTTATTTTTTTTTTTAAGGGGGGAAAGCATCGAATGACAACTCCCGCCTGGGTGAGGCGGGAGGGAGTGTCAGACTCTTACTGACTAAAAACCACCCCGTTCCTTCTCCTGCACGTCGAGCCCCGGTAACCCGTTAGGTTCTCCGCGACAGCCCTATTGGGCCTTATCCTTCATTCGCTTCAAAAACCAATTTAAGTATCGTTAAAACAAAAAAATATATTAAAAAGTAATATCGTTTCATTTTCAGTTGATCACCGAAAGCTTTGTAATTAAGAAATAAAACATTCATCGATATAAAATAATCGATTCAAAATAACTGGAGCGCCGAGCGATGAGAATCGATGCTTTTTACTTGATTACAACAATTATGTTGAGTACTCGATTTATTTTTTCTGTAAAGTAACGGTTCTGGCTGGCTTCTGTTGATTTTAAATTTTCGTTTTCAAGAAGATTGTGGGAAACTGCTGAAGTAAAGAAAATATGAGTTGTTTCAAAAGGAGTTCGTGATGGTTTATTTTAATTTAAGTTAATGTACCTATGTAATTTTAAAATTCGCAGATCTTTTACGTATTTTCATTTGATTGTATATTTAAAGAAAAATAGAACAAATTATGAAATGTTTTAATAATAACTATTGTGTCTCACGATACTAAATTAAGTGAAATCGCGAGTTACTCACGTGAATATGGGCTCGCAGCGCAAGTAGCAACACCGAAACGAGCGCCAATGCCAGCCAGTGAGCTGCGCGACGTCGCCGCGACCGCGCACGCTGCTCATGAGGAAGAACCCCTCTGTGGTTCGAAACTAGTAGAGCTTTTCTCAGTTTATTCACGTGAGTAACCCGCGATTTTACTTAAATTATGAAATACCGAACAACAGTTATGCATTGTGAATTTTCATCGATGTTCGCATCATAGGACTATCTCTGGTTTGATTCATCATAGATTTTTTACCACATTAAATCAATTTAAAACCAAATTTAGATACATACATAAATACAATCTCATGCCTGTCTACTAGAGACTACCGAACGCCAACCGCTACTATTCTTACATACCTCTTTCGCTTCATTAACAGTCATATACCGGACACAATTCAAGACACCGTGCTACTACTGAAAAACCCAGTAATACTTTGGGACGGACCCAAATCGACTCGGGTTCGATTCCCGACCCGGGAATCGCGACAGCGGTATTTAACAGACCAAATACATTACAGATATCAACAAACACGTCTTTTTTTTTTTAAGGGGGGAATATCATCGAATGACTGCTCCCGCCTGGGTGAGGCGCAAGGGAGTGTCAGACTCTTACCGACTAAAAACCACCCCGTTCCTTCTCCTGCACGTCGAGCCGGAGCCCCGGTTACCCGTTAGGTTCTCCGCGACTCGACAAACACGTCTAACCCCCAAAATAATTCAATAAACTCCTCTATGGCATATAATTCTTATAATGAACATTTTGTATTAGGGAATCGTATTGAAATTCCATTAGCGTTGGAACCACAGCGGTCATCGTAACCCGCAGGCCGCCACCGCACCGGTACATTGTAGCGGTTGCCTGGGATATGTAACGTGAAGGGTTGAGGTTAAACCCTATGTCGGGTAAAGAGTAATGTGCTGAATGTGTTAGGTTTAATTATTTTAATGGGTTTTTGCTGTGGGAATAATTGAATAAAACAATGCACAAACTATCGCATTCTAAGAAAATGTTGACAGTCAAAGCATTTATTTCAACTAATGCTTAATTAGGCATTATTGAATTGTCCGTCCGTCTGTCTATTCGAGAAGCTAGGCACTCCTTCCAACTCCAACATGTCGTTTTGAATGAAGAGGAACTGGGAAGAAACTTCATCGTTACTCTTTTGAAAAAAAAATTTTTTACAATCTCAATGATACATTATCTGATCCTTTACCGAATGTATATACATATGTGTGAGAACGATGTAACGACAATACAACGTCAAAAATTAATGGGTTTACGAATTCAACTCCTGAATAAATTAAAGCTATGAATGATTGTTTCAAACATGGTGCCCACATGTAAGTACACTTACAATTTGAAATACTGATACTATACAAATAAAAATATTTGTTTAAGCTTAACAAATACGAAAAAATACTATCTCTTTTTATACGAATAAGAAATAAATTTTGAAGACCATGCTTGTTATAAATAACTACAGACAGTTACAACTTCATGTTGTATTATTTGATTTCTCATGAAGTGCAAATCGTTGTTACCGAATAGTCAGATCTTTCTATTAAAAACATTACATTATACCGCGTGGAATGTTCGATCTAGTTTCCCTTCCTTAATGAATAATTTCAAAAAGACCCAAATAAATTTATAATCGACCACACACGATAAAAAATTCAAACGACGGTATGTATCCTAAAATATATCGAAGGGAGAAGGGGCTGCCACAAACAAGGTCTAATTATTTGCCATCGCAAATGTGGGGTCGTTTTGAGGAGAGAGGGCAGTTTATGGCACGCTTAATGTCGGTCCACCGTCAAATAGAGACCTCTTTGACCTCAAACGAAGTTCAAATTACAAATTAAAGTGACCTTCATCACTGGATCCGAAGTTTTGTCGAAGTTTTAGTCACAGTTTGTACAATAATGACTAGTTTTATTTAATTTATCTTCGTTTTCCTAATAATTAAGTTTCTGGACCCTGGGAGTCATGATGTCCTTGAATATTTGAGACAAGGAAATGTATGTCGTATGTTCTACGTGTAATGAAGTAATTTTGCGTCGACAGGAGTTTATTTGCAGACATAAATATTAATTACATGAAAATAAATAGGCAATACTTGAATGTCCGTGAAATCTGCGTCAGAATTCTCGAAGAGTAAATAGTAGTAGTTCTGGTAGTTATATCTTTGAGCCGTTTAGGGTTGAGACGTTAGGTCCGTGGGGTCCGAGTCCATACATTATTCAAAAACATTTCTAAACGCCTGGTCGACGCATCTCGTGACGAGAGGGCTGATCTTTTTCTCGGTCAGAGGTTAAGCATTGCCATACAACGTGGCAATGCTGCCAGCCTTCTAGGTACTTTCCCTACTAACGTCGATGCTTTGTGTAAATAGTTATTTTTAGTTTTCTTTTATTTAATTTTGATCTTAAGTTAGTAGTTTGTATTTATTTTATGTAAAAAATAAAGTCAGGGTTAATTTAATCGCAGAGTTGGTTCTGGTTTTATATTTATTGTATGAAAAGTGATAAAACCTTGAAAACCTTTAGTTATATTTTTATGGAATATGGACAAATGAGTAGACAGATTGTACACCAAAGGCGTTACAAATGCACTTTCGCCTAGCCTCCACTAATATGTGCCATTTTAAACTTGAGTGTTGTTAGAAATTCCTAATCCTAATCCTATCTACATTATGTCAAACGTCACCTGGAATAAAATGATCAAAACTATGTTAAAAGAGCTACTTAGGTATTGGTGTAAAATTCGCCATGACACCTATCACTACCACTGCAATACAAAGAAATTAATTCAATATTTCAACAACGTCTATTTGATATATCACCCGGTTTGCATACGATTTAGTGTTCGTTTCAAATGCAAACGATGAATGGAATCAAATACCAACGTGAATTCAGGTTCCAATTACAACATTTTCGACGAAAAATCGCGCGAATATCGATTTCAACACGAAAAATTTGTTGAAGCCCTATTATAATTGTAGAAGATTAAAAATGTAGGAGGAGACCGTTTTTATTTGACGTCTAATACGTAAATACTCAAACGCCACTCGACTTTAAGATGATCTTCAAAGTTTTTCTGTCGCTTCTGAGTAGCTTCGAGTAACAGAGAATACTTGAGACTTCACAGCTAGATGGAGTTAAGTAACTTGTTTCATTAATACTCTTCAAATAACTAAACATTACGCCTTCTATTCTGTGGGTATACGTAAACATGTATCTTGAAATTGCCGGCTGCCGCGAAACGTGTCCCGTGTTCTATACCCGCACGGAGCAACTCTTTGTGTGATCCACAGATTGTTGTTTCAGGTCTGGGTGTCATGTGTATGTGCACTAATTGTATGTTTCGTGTGTATGTAATATGTCGAAAACGCACCCACGACACAGGAGATAATAATCCTACAGAGGGCAACGTTTTTTTTTGAAGAAATGAATTGTTGTAGCCAGTTTTCGACAATGGTGTTATTAGTTAAAGCGATTGTAACTATTTCATTCAAATCTCTTGGAATGTAGAAATCATAATCATAAATTGTATAGTTCCGATAACATCTACCGCAAAATAATGTTTAGTATGGCAAATGAAGCCATTAAAAAAGACACCACTTCATTCATTTTTCGCGCGGATTTATCAAAACCGTTTAGACAGTGTTCCGCAGTTAATTCTGAAACAAGAGATTGCCTAAAGCGCTTTCGAAACTTTGTACATTTACGAACCAAAGTCCCCGAAAGAGTGGACCTCAAAAAGACAATTACGCTTCTGTAGAACACGCCAAACGGCCCCTAGAAGATAAATTGAAGGGCGATTAAAATTAATTTTGCGTGAATTCAATTTTTTCGCCCCTCAAGAAAACTCAATTAAACTACATGTCTAATTTAATTTAACAAACATTTTGCTAATTAGTGGTTGGAGTTCATTAATATCTTTTGTTAGATAATTTGGTCGTAATAGAATGATTGCTTTGTTCTGGTTTGGATGGACCTAAATGGATGTGTCAAGGTTTTTGACAAAGGACTGTTTATACGTTTGCAGAATAATAATGTCGGGTTTTT